AATTCAGGCCAGTACGGGATTTGAACCCATGACCAAATGAACCTAGAACCCACAGTAGACAGTGTAGATAGTTGTACCTTAACTGTAGACAGTGTAGATAGTTGTACACACTGTAGACAGTGCTACCTACTGTAAACAGTGTATATAGTTGTACCTACTGTAGACAGTGTAGATAGTGGTACCCATTGTAGAAAGTTGTCGCTGTTGTTACACAATGATACGTCTTACATAAGCCTTCCACACAGCAGACATCGCCGGCAAAAACTTTTTCTCCTCAAACTGGAAATCGTTTTGTTTCTGCAACTGTGTTGTCTATTTTCCCCTATTTATTTTCTTCTACGTTATTTCTGTATCATCCATTTCAGTTTTCAAATCGATATGCAATGCAAGTTGAAGCAAAACCTTTTCTTAGAACGTCTATCCGCCGAACTCTGACCTTGGATATCTGATCGTAAACTGCGGTGAAATTCACCATGTAAAGAATACTAAAATAGGCTCGTAACTGCGTGAGGATCCGCGCTGGAGCATATCTCCGACATCAGCTTAACTTTCCGTAGTCATGCATAATGTCAAGTGTCGGTAATCGTCCGAAATCGTATGCAACGAAACCCTGTTATGCCGATGTTGCTTCTTCAGATCAAGTATAGTTTTAACTACCATCAGCTTTACGATTTGTTATGGCTTAACCCGATACAAATGGTTTTAGTAGCTCACATTTATCGCTGAGTGTACGTGTTTGACAACTAAATCACGACGTTAAGTTCCCTGTCGCCGACTATGGCTTCTGGCACCCTTCAAGGCCCTCCTGCTGGTCGTTAGACTGAGAGGAGGAGGTTTGTGCAAAGGTACCCTCTTCTTAAGCCATCGTACTCTTAAGCCATCAGTTCAGTAAGTTACAGATTTATTCCGTTGAAGTCTCGAACGCCTTTTTATCCTTGCATGGACTGAAAGAGCTTTTTAATGATAATGCAAATTTTTTTATTTTAAAAAGACTGCAATCTTCTTTATTGAGGGATTCATAGGAGCCAAAAAGGCCAGATGAGATTCTCCAATCTAAAAGGGATAATTTGTAGACCAACTTATGCAGTAGAAAATGTAGGTTAGTGTTCTCAATCAAGAGCTAAATACCATCGAGCCTTTTAAACTGGGCCATGGATCAAAATACAATAAGTGCGCTTATTCGCCTCAATCATTACGTGGTTTGTATGCGCAATAAAAGATGTGCAATGCAATACTAAGGAATCACATAAACGAGCCTCAGCAAACGAAGCCGTCCGCCATTACAACGTATGCTAATATTTTTCATGTAGATCGCTTTTGTCAGTTCATTGTATGATTCATTTCCTTTATTCTTGACCGGAAACGCTCGATTACACTCTCAGTAAGACAGAGTTCCTCACCCTCCCCCCCAGCCTGGTTTTTTAAAACTCAATACACCGACAATTTATGGTACTATAATATGTAGTTTCGAGATGGTCGAGCGGCAATCGTAGGCGCG